TTCTAGGCCCCGTGCTTGGTTGGAATGCAAGTTTGATGCCCAAAATGATCATCAAAGGAGGGTTTGCGGCCCTGGGGTGTGTGTGCGGCCGTACAAAGGGGTGTGCGGCCGTACACCCTCCATGTTTATGTCCAATTTGACGATTTTAAGGTGAAACAAGGCTAGGGCCATGCCCACCTAGAAGATAAGGGTCAAACTCCTACTTTGGAGAGCCTTTAAGGAGTGTACGACCAACCTTATGAAGGTGTGCGGCCGTACTCCTTCAAAGGGTGAAGAACACGATGATTCAATGCTTACATCAATAGTTCCTTCAAGTATAATAAGCTAGGTGATGGAAAACTCACGTGTTTGAGGCCTTGGGAGGGTTTGCGGTTGAAGAAGCTTGAGGGAGAAGGAGTAGTGTGCAGCCAAGGGAAGAAAGGAGTGAAGGAAAGGGTCTACTCATATATATAGGGGTGGGTGACTCACCACCTTGAGTGTGCTGCCATGGGGTGGGGTGGGCGGCCGCACACCCATGTGTACGGCTGTACACTCCTCCTAAGAGAGTGTATGGCCCGATTTTGCTACTTTGTACCTTGGCAACTCATTCCTAATCTCAACGTTAGTTGTTCTTAAGCTTAGAACACTTAAACGAACCCTTATACAGTGCCAAATGACAACAGAAAACGAGTCTGACTTTCAATGATCGAGGTAACTTAGAGTCAGAGATTTTCGGGTTGTTATAGAAAGAAATGTCCTTTAACTAACTCAAATAAAGGCACATTTAACAATATTTTAACACATTTTTTATATATAGAATACCAAAAAAATAATTTTAGGGGCCCATTGTGACGAGACCCGGGTTGTCACCCAACTCCCCTTTTTATTGGGCCGACTTTGCAAATAATATCTTATCAACCTACACTATTTTTAACACCCAAAAATATATACCATACAATATTTTTAATTTATTTAGATTGTCAAAAATACTTTTCAACTTATTAGGTTTTTACTTATTTATTTGCATCTTTTTGTATAAAAACTCTATAAAATATATAATTGCAAAATTGTAACCAAATTAATTATTTCTATATTATTAATTCTAATTATGTGTTATTTTATTAAAACAAGAAAACTATATTTAAAATATATTGTTATATATTTATGATTAATCAATGTAAATTTCATATATATGTAGTAGTATAATGAATAATTACTATATTTAAGGTATACTTATTATGCTTACTAGCTCCCTAACTTTTTATTGTAACTCAGGCCCTCCCTTTAATTTGATTTTGTGACGATTTTGGTTTCCTAGCTGACTTAAAATGTCCAAATTACCCTTAATAGATTTTTTATTAGGTATTTTAGTAAACAAAACTCTATTAGAAATTTTGTGGGTCCCACCCACCACTTTAAATCACCCCCATTTTCCCTAATGGGTACCCTATTTTATCGTGCTCTCCTAAAATCACCACATTTCCTTTCCTTCCCCATGTCCCACTAGAAAAACACCATCGTCAGAAATCGTCTTCATCGGAAAAGGCCTCACCCTCATCGTACTCTCTCGCAGTACCTTGTTTTTCTCTACGTCTTTACTGTAGAAGTGGTAGATTCAATCTATTGGCTTTTCTTGAACAACCTAGCCGGAATGTCAAACAGTTCATGAGTTTTTCGGGGAACAAAAATCTCACCCATTTTTCTTGTCCTATCGGTTCAAAACCCCTACTAACAGAAGTCTCGCCTACAAATATGCCCAAAAATCTCACCCATTATTCTTTCTCTCACACTCTCTCTCCCCCCTCTCTCTAACGATAACGATCCAGAAAAAAAGGTTTTAATCTATGAACGAACGGTATCGACGAGCTTTCCGACAAGAAACCAACAAACATGGTTTTGATCTACTTGGAAAAACTAGAAGAATTGAGTTACAATGGTACTGTTTTTGGAAGAGCAAGTAAGGAGACATAAGGAAAGTAAATCAATCATCTTAAGTCTTCTCCCTAAATCCCTAATCAATCTGCTTTTATATATGTGTTTTATATAATCAAATAAAGATAAAGATAAAGACAAAGACATGGGGTACAAATGGTTGATGTAATGGAAAATGTTCTTTATATGAGCTAGGTTTTATCAGAGAATAAATTTTTCTTGATAAATATGGTTGTGTAAGAATGCTAACAACAATTTGTTTACAAATAAATATGGGTTGATAAATGTGGTTGTGGTTGATAAGGAAAGAGAGTGATTGTGGGACCTATTTTTTTTAATGATAATACTAAAAAAGAAATAGGAAAAAGAAATATAGTCTTTTAATGTTTGGTAGAGACTAATTCAAAACAAAAAAAAACTATAAGAGGGTCTAACTTAAAAAAAAAGAATAAGGGACCAAACACGTAGACTATCAAAATCAAAGGGACCATTCATGTAATTTATCATATATATTATAAACTAGAATATAATAAAGAGTTATTGTCATGAAAAACTCATAAAGTTTGACTTTTGAGTTTAAATGGTCACTGAATTAAATTTTTTCTTTTTAGATCACTAAAGTGGGAAATGACTTGTTCATCAAGGGATAATCAACATGTAGAAACAATTTAAAATATCGAATTATCGTGGCGGTCATAGTGGGTAATCGTGTCGATCGTAATGGGTAGGTCTTATCGGAGGGAACATTAGTGCTAATACATAAGATTTTGAGGTTGGTGGATAATGTCTTAATAATAATGTGATAATTATACAAAAAAAGGATGATAAGGGACGTATTGTCATTTAACTTGGCATGTGACCAAATTCGAAACAAAACCAAACCAAAGGGTCCATCCAGATGAAAAAAACACGTTAAAGATCAAACGTACAAATTACCTCAAACTACATGGACCATTCTTGTAATTTGCTCTTCGCCAATAAACAAGAAAACACATGTTTTTTTGGTTGTTAAATAAAATTAATATAAATTTTTTGAAATATTAGACCAACTAATAATTAGGGGTGTTGATCGAATAAATTTTTCGGGTTTCGGGTAATTTAAAATTTTCATGTTAAAAAAAATACTTGTTACCCGACCCGAATTAAATTCGGGTGGTAGGCCGGGTTTGGGTAATTCGAGTATTACCCGAAAATAAATGTAATGAAATAAATATGTCGTGCTCTATTAGTCTTATTTATATAAACAAATGAGACATAAACGAAGTTACTCAAACTTTGAACATTAAGATTTTTTAGTCAATAATACTTGAGACATCAAGTAATATTTCACAAAAATAATACCATTTACAAGAAAGCAAAATGCAAGAAGTCAATACCCTATTTTCGAAATCATTTACAAGAAAATCACTTACTTTGAAGTTTGAAGTCTAAATGGGTGAGTGTTGGTGACCACAAGTTGAGTTAAGTTTGAAGTTTACTTGAGATGTCTCTATGTTTTTATAGGGTTCGATACTTCGATGGACGACTCAAGAAACACAGAAGGTTTTTTTTTTTTTTTTTTGAAATCAATGATCGTGAATGAGGGTTAAAATTGTAAACACCATATGGATAAGTGTGGATATTACCCAAATAACCATTTATTTTTTAAATAAATCGGGTATTTCGGGTATACCCGAAACCCTGTACATATACCCAATACCCGGTTTAAAAAAAATCGGATAACCCGAATACCCGAAAATATATATACCCGATACCCGAATACAAAACGGGTCGGATCGGGTATTTTCAATAGGCCTACTGATAATCATTTGCAACAAATATGGTTATTTTGAAACTTTTAACAAAATCTCTTTACCTTCTTGGAAAGTGATGCGCCAAAACTAGAGGAAATATATGTGGTGTAAATGAAAAATATTACATCTTCAAGGATCGAAACTGACATTATGCTTCAATAAAGCAATCAGTGGGACTGTTGATATATTAGGCTTCTTCGTCACAATTCGAACTGCTTGTTCACAAACACACTTCACAAAACAGCAACCATTACCACAAGCGCATAGAGCGAGGTACGTTTTTGATGAAAGTTTTTCTCTTTGTTAAAGAATCACTTGTCTTAGTTGTTTTTTGTTGTGGATCTATCGATCCTTGACGAAAGTATATATCTGGAAGAAAAAATTTCTTTGCTACTCTTTGTGGATTGTTTGTGAATGCTCTACGGATAAATTCAACTAAATGTTTAAATGGATAACTATGCCTCCTCAATTTCCTTCTTTTGATTATTGAACAATGTTTTAGAGGAATGGTTTTCTTAAGACGGATGCTTCTATGTAGAGATCAGTTCTAGCCCTAATCCCCCCTATTTCGAGGCACGCTACTTCTTCCTCATCTTTCTCAATTTTACACGATGGTGAAGAGTTGAAATTAACAATCTATTCCCGCTTTCGATCAATTTAAAGAAAACAAAGGTGAAGTTGACAAGGGAAGACAAACATCATATTAACTATGAATTTCCACACATTAATTTACCAACTAAACATGTTATGTGCCTTCTTAAATCCTGAATGCAATTTCTATAATGTTAATTATCTATGGGTTATACATGATATTTGAAAAAAGATAGTTCTGCAAATTAACATTGAAAATATCCATGGATTTTGTATACTAAGTAACAACTTTTAACAATTTCATCCTTTTTTTTTTTTTTTTTATCTGTTACAGGTTTGCCGGTCAGTGTAAAAGCGCTGGAATATTGAAAAAATGGAGCATGTATTTGCAATCATTAGTCGTATTGTTGAATCATTAATGGTTCATGTCAAAAAACAGCTAGGTTATCTCTTTTCCTCCACAAAACATGTTAGGAGCATGTCTGCAATCATTAGTCATATTGTTGAATCATTAATGGTTTCTGTCAAAAAACAGCTAGATTATCTCTTTACCTCCACAAAACATGTTGGGAGCATGAATGTTGAAAAATAGGGTTTGTATCTGCAATCATTAGTCCTATTGTTGAATCATTAATGGTTCCTGTCAAAAAACAGCTAGATTATCTCTTTTCCTCCACAAAACATGTTAGGAACATCAATACTAGAATGAAGCAACCGGATTGTACAAGCCGTTTTGTTAAAACTCACGTGGAAACAAACAACATAAGTAATCCGGATATACCTGCTCGTGCTCGTGTAACAAGGTGGTTAAAAGATATGGAAAAGATTAAAGAAGATGCTCAAATCATTTCAAGTACAGGGAATGGATGTTTTAACTTGAAAATGAGGTATCGAGCAGGAAGAAATGCATTCAAGATTACAGAGGAGATGGGAAATCTTATTGAAGAAATAGTAAGATAATTTGAAGTGATGCTCAAAAACTTCTTAGAAAAGTGAATTCTCAAAACACATCTACTTCAGCATTGTGGGATGGTGATGCCCAAAATTACTTGAAATCGAGAGAGAAGTTTTAAGGATGCACTCAAGTTCCTTCAACAAGATCACACGAGCCAAGGGATAGCCCTATGTGGAATTGGAGGTATGGGGAAAACCACAATGATAGAACAATTGAAAAAGGCTGCAGAAGATAAGAAAATGTTTGATTGGATTGTGAAGGTGGTCATTGGACAAATGATTAACATATTATCTATTCAGCAAGCTCTAGCAGAATACATGGGTCAACCTTTAACAGAAACGAGTATAACAGCAAGTGTTGATTGTCTTCGTATAAGGTTTGGGAAGATGTTTGAAGGACAAAAAAGGTTTTAGTGATATTAGATGGTTTTCTGCCCCTTGCAGTTAAACTCATTGATATAAGCTATACCTAATTAATAGAAGAGGAGGAAAAAAAGATTTTTCTGCGTTGTGGTTTGTTTCATGATGACTTTCATATTCCAATCGAGGAACTCACAAGAGACTTATATCCATACATAAGTCTATCTCCATACATAAGCAAGCAAAAATTATGCATTTTAACACACCCAATGTAATTGCTATCGATCAACAAATTTGCATTTTTAAGATTCTGCACACATGTTTTTGTCCTGTCTCTCGCATCTCCCACAGCAGAAACATCATTTAACAATCGTAGGCCCTAATCGTAGGGCCTACGATTGTTAAATGATGTTTCTGCTGTGGGAGATGCGAGAGACAGGACAAAAACATGTGTGCAGAATCTTAAAAATGCAAATTTGTTGATCGATAGCAATTACATTGGGTGTGTTAAAATGCATAATCTTTGCTAGCTTTTGTGTTAGGTAGAGTTGCCAAAGGTGACTTTTCATGGATAATCAACCATGGTGATATTTCAAAGTGGAGTAGAGCTGAAATGAAAGTCTTGCAAAACAATTTCTATTACTTGCACAGGTATGTCTGAGTTTCCTAGTGACTCTAAGTACCCAAACCTATCACTTTTGAGACTTATGTATGGAGATAAGTTTCTTAGGTTTACCGAAGAGTTTTATGAAAAAATGAAAAATCTTGAAATTTTAGCATATGAAAAATTTCTCAGTTTTGCTCATTGTGGCATCAGAAAGTTATCATCCACAATCGGAAAATTGAAGGAGCTAAAGTTTCTATGTTTGGATAGTCTACCAAAGTTGACAGGTCTTTGCAACGCTGCTAATGTAATTAAGCTACCACAGCTGGTGGAGTTGATACTTGATGGCCTTCCTGATTTCACTAGCATTTATCCTGAGAAAACATCTTCAACATCTTCTATGTCCAGTAATATCTCTGCAATTCAACCTTTCTTTAACAAAGAGGTACATCTATACTAGGATTGTCTTTATAATGAAAGTCTGTATTTCCCTATTGATCCTCAACATATCTTAATTATTGTGCAGATGCTGATTCCAAATTTGGAGATATTGTTAATTGGGAGGATGAATAAGCTGAAAGAGGTATGGCCTTATCAATTTAGTAGTAGTGACGAACTTGATACTTGCATGTTGAGAAAGATTGAAGTGAAGAAACGTAATAATCTTGTGAATCTGTTTCCAACCAATCAAATGTCTTTGTTGGGTCATCTGGAAAAGCTTCATGTTAGTTATTGTGGAAGCATTGAAATGTTATTTAACATCGAGATGAGTTGTGTTGGTGAAATTGAAAAACACAGTAGCAACTTGAGACGCATTAATGTGTATAAGTTGGAGAACCTAAGAGAGTTGTGGAGGATGATTGGATGAAAGGTGAAAGTAGCTATGATATTCTCATCCGAATGTGATGTCATTGAACTTTCTATTTCTATTTCAATTTTGATGTTAGAGAACTTATGTATATCTGTCTTTATATATACACTCACATGTGTGTATGTGTATGGCTGTATGTAAATATGTGTATACATATACATATATACGTATCACACTACAAGATTGGAAAAGTAGGCTAGATTTCCTACATTGCTAAGTACTCTGGAACTCTTTCAACCTTCATATTATTATTTTTACATATTTATAAGCAAGTGTTTTTTGGTTACTTCTCTACATCTATGAGCTTGTGTGTTTATTATATTTGACAATAGTAACTTCAATTATTGTTATAAATTATTAAGATTTAATTAGAGCGACCACATTTCCATTAAATGCAAAGATTCTACATATTTGATCTATTGATCAAATGAGTGATCACTCAAAATTATTTATGTATGCTAAAAGAAAAAACAAATTACAAATTTGTGTCTTGTGTTTACATTGTTTCAAAGAATTTATTTGCGGTTTTTTAGTACTTAACTCATGTTTTCTTAGCATTTTTAGTCCTTACGTCAAATTTAACATCTTGCATCAACCCCCACTTGTCCTACTACTTTTTCACTTAAGTTTCAAATTTCACTCATCTCAAAAAGTATAATATCTTTTGTAAACAAGTTCTCTGGTTTTCGATTGAGACACCATGTTGAATGCATAGCGTTTTTCTACTTTGCATGGTGTTGATTTTATTAACAATATAAAATATAAAAATTATATTATGCAAAAAGGGTTGAGTAAGGACTGCTAATAGCAAAAACTGATAGGGGACGTAAGGAAGATTATGAAATGGGAAAGAGGTAGATGGTGGTGGGCCCTACGGATAGTTATAAAGATGATTAATAATACAAAATATAAAAAGGCAAAATAGTCATTTAATAAATCTTGAGAAACTTAAATGAACCGTATGACTAATAAACCATGAACAGACTAAAATTACAAAATAATGTAATGGACCTGAACCAAAAAAAACCAGAAAAGCACATAAACACATGGACCATCCATGATCTGTTCAAGGTATCATTTCTTATAAGTGGATTCTTTTAATACTCAATTATTTCTTTAATTTCTTTTTCTTTAATATTGTCTTTTCCTTATATAACTCCATAAGCTAATTCTTGGAAAGACAAAATAAATAACTACATACCTACTTTTTTTAGTTTATTCATTTGCATAGATCATTAAAGTGATTTATGATAAGCATGGTTATAAATTATATCAAATGTGTCTTTTATTCAGTTTTAGTTAAATTAACTAAAATGGATGGTGTATTAGACCGAATTGTGAGGGAAAGAAAAAAATTGATTGATAAATATGTTGGATTAGTGTCTAAGCCCATAACTATTTTGATATGTACTTGACCCGATTGTGAGCATGGTCCTTTTGGGTTACCTTCATACTGGTGACTAGACAGGATGACTGTTGAGGAGAGAGGCTGGTTTATTGTTAAGAATAATAAATTGGGGTATAAATATGATTTGTTAATATATTATATGAATAATATATTAATTTGGAATCATATTATTAATTAGTACTTAATCAGAAATTAATTATGAATTAATTTTGGGATTAAAGGAATTAATTAAAAGTACAGGGGCTGTTTTGTAATTATTTGATAGTTGAGATTTTGGGCTATTGGATCACCTTTATTCAGGCTTGAACGAAAATCCTAGAAGGATCTAGGAGTTTTCGTCCAAGGGCTTAAGGAAAGGAGTCCATGGACTTGCTTAGGCCCTAAGCTAAGGGATTAGGGTTTCCACCTTGAAACCCTAGCTAGCCTCAAGTATAAATAGCACCCTAAGGCACTAGAATTCGGCCACCCCTTGGGAAAACCCTACTAGAGCCGAATTTTGGATCTTAGTACCCTTCCTCCTCTCTCTCATATTTATCCTCTCACTCAAAGTGTGTTTGTGAGCCATTAGAGGTACTACACTTGTGGTACTTGCTTTCAAGAGCTAATGAAACTCAAGGAATTAGTTGTTATTACTATATAACAACAAAAGGTATGTATTTTATTCTCCTATGTCAATTTTGAAAATAGTAGATACATGCTAGGTTTCCTTTTATGTTCATAAAGTTGTATGTCTAATAGTGAAAACATAGATCCAATTAGGGTTGCATGCACACATAGGATTGTTTGTATAAAACCCATCAGTGGTATCAGAGCCTTTGGTTTTTGTTTTCAATTAGATTTGATACAAATGTATGAATTTGACAAATTAGGGTTTATGGCTAATAAACCCTAGGGCTTGGATTTTCGAAATTAGGGTTACAAAACCCTAGTTTTCGAATTGTATTAGGGTTTCCCAAACTCTTTCCTTAGCCACCAAGATTTCGAAATTAAGGTTATCTAACCCTAGGATTTCGAAATTTGCCTTGTCCCCATGATAAGATTCCCAAATTTTAGGGATTTGGATAATGTCATATCTTGTAATTATCCCTTAATTGTTTAAATAGATAATTAAAGATCTTTTGAATTATCCCATCCCAAATTTTCGAATTTTAGGGGATAAAGGGATTAGGTTAAAATTAATTGTTTAATTTAATAGATTATCCTCCAAGATTTAATAATTTAAATTAATTGTTTAATTGAGATAATTACTAAATCAAAGTTTTAATATTTAAGATTTTAAAATTAAAAGGTTTTAATTTTCAAAATTTTTTAAATATGATTAAAACCCTAGTATTTTGAAATGTTTAAAATACACCCATATACTATTATAATATTATAAGATTAATAATTATATATATGTATAAGATTAAGCTACTCTTACCGTTAGTAGGCCTCATTCACGAAGCCGATCTATAAGGGGGGTAAAAGGTTATGGCCTATAAAATGGCCGTTTAATGGGTGTCCACTCTCACCCACCGCTTCCTTGATTGATGGAGGGTCGTTAGCCGAACGGGTAGGATAGGGCAACTAATTCCTCATTAAAAGTATAATGATTAATAAAGTAACTAAATGCTTTTATTAAATTCCCAATCTTAGTTACTTTAGGCAAAAGTGAATTTGATGCAATTCCATGAAATTACACTTTGTACCCTTGCTAAGACGTTAGTGGAGCATGTGTGGTTAACCGGCACACTAATTGGGTTTTAAGCAAAGGTGGCAAAGGGTGACTCGATGTTTGTCATAGTTCGGTGGAGCGTGTATGGTTAACCGGCACATCGAATAAGTGACTGTAACATTGGGGACACCATGTATATTTGCATGGTTATTCACACCCTGTTTTGTGATCCTCGACATCCCAATCACAAATCAAGGGGCATATCGAGATTTAAACATGTCATTGAAAAGTTCAATGAGTCTCAAAAGATCTAGGAGTTTCCAATACATTTAAAACTTAACCTTCTTTTTCGTTTTTCATGGTGGAAATTGGTAAATCTTCATTTACATACCTTCAAATATTTTGCAAATTCGATTACGACATCCTTCTTCCAGTTTATAGAATATTGTGATGGGTCCTAGCCTTAATATCTCATTTGGGTGTTTTATTAAGGACTCAATCAACTAACTTGAATTTTCTCCCGTTTTATAGATGTCAAAGTCTGACAACTATGGTCTTCCTGAATCCATTGGAAAAAGTTTTCCATGATTGGATTGTGGAAATAGAATTGATGCTTCACTTCCTCCACCTCCTCCAACAATTCTCCCTGACCCACGTGTTCAAAGATTTGAAAAGTTCAAGGTCACTTAAGCCCTATTGGCAATAAGACACAAAGATGGAAAGTTTGTATGTGCACACGTCTTACAGATTAAGTCACACATTGACAGGTTAAGGATGTTGGGCGTCGATGTCTCAAGGAAGTTGGTTGTTGACTTGGTTCTTCAATCACTTCCCGAATCATATGGTAAGTTCGTTAGAGAGTACTATATGATGGACCACGACATGACCCTTATTGATTTGACTTATTTGCTTATTGCTGCTGAATCAGAAATGATTTGGGGCACTGGTCGAGCAAATTGGTCTGATAAATCAATATCCCAACCTTCTACGAGCAATGGCAACATTGGAAGTCCAGAAAAGTCTTCTCTACATAAGAGAAAGGCTGAGTCTGAGATAGTCTCGTGTGCCATTCCATAAGAGTCCATATCTTTCTACTGCCAAAACAAGGGGCATTGGTTACGAAGCTGCCCTGACTACCTGAGAGATCTAAGAGATGGGAGAGTCAAGATGTATGACTCTGCTTCAGGTAAAATCCATTATCTAACTCCATTAAGTTCCTATTTGGATATTCTTAATACATGACGTGATAAGATTACATTTGATGTTTTGAAGGATCGAAGAAAAGAAAGGAAGCTCAATGGAAGGAGCGAGCTGAGTCTGATCGCGAAGAAATGGATTACGATCGCATGGATTCAATGATCGGATTTTTGAGCTGCTGCTTAGAGTTATGATAAATTGCTTAGGAATATGTAATAGCATAGTTTTCATTTGCATTGTAAGGATATATTTTTTCCGCAATAAAATAAATTTTGATTTTGTCTTATTTATATTTCCTTGCAATGGCAATTGTGAAAATTGGTGTCTGTGTGTTTCTATTATAAGCAATATTAAATGGATGTGATTCTTAGTTATATAATTTATGGTAATGTCATAATTTTCTAAGTAAGGAAAGATTCTCATCGCCCAAGTTTCAATTGGACAGAAGCTTGGAATTATATGATTTGAATCATGTGATGTATGGAAATCTTGGTACTTAGAAATTATAAGGCTAATTCCTTGACAAAGAGTCAAGTGAAGGACTAGGAGATCGAGTTCACAATATTGTGCACTGGTCAAGTCCACCATAAATAACAATAACATTATTCGTCATGATTTACTAAAAGTATACTAAATGTGGTTATACTTACAAGATTAAGTGTAATTCTGAATCATTGAAAAGTTTCAATGAATGGCAGAACGAATAAGTAGAATCAATGAAGACAGAAAGATAAAAAGTTTCTCCAATCCAAGAAGAAGGGAGAGTACTTTTGTATCGTGTTTTATGATCATCTTGGTATTCGTAGGAACCATATTACAATTCATCCTCTAAGGACACCTTAGTGCACTAGTTTGGCTAAGAAGAGGAATCGAGAATTGTTGTAGTGGTTAAGTCAATAAGATGTATCGTACTTCGTTCCAAAATCAAGTCTTAGAATCATACTCCAAGATTGTGACTTGAGTGACATAGTCTTAAGTAGGAATGTTTTTACACTTGCACATTTTAGTAAATTGTG